AATGCGTCACAGCGCCTTGAGCGAGGGCACATCTGAGTCGGGCCTGAAGATGATTGGCCGAGAGCCAGACTGCCACTGATATGCACTTGCAAGCACTCAAGAAAGGCTCAGCGTTGAAACAGGCGAGCGAAGTGGGGTCTTTGTCGTTATCCCGGGCCCAAAAGGTGTTCAGGGTTCACATCGGATCTGCGAATTGTAGAAAGAGGACTCCCGACTTCGCTCGCATATACAATTCTGTGCCTCATTGGTAGCAAGGTCACGTTCGTCGCGAAGATCCCAACCCTAAGATGACTCAGACTATGGAAGTTCGATCTAGGTCACCAAATTGTGTGTTGAAATCTACCGCGAATGGATCTCGTCGTGAATACCCGGAGGTTTGGCCAATGCTCGCTCCTAGTTGAAGACGTAAAAGAATAGAAGAGAGTAGCTGTGCAGTTTGCGGAGCACAGGTGTTCACGTTCGTGGTATTCACGCAATTAGCAATCTAGCGAGCGAACATCCGCAGAAGGGTAACGATTTTACGAGCCTGCCGCGCAGATGTCTGGACTAAGTCCGTATCCAAGCTGAAGTGACATTAAATCAGCAGCAATTGATAACGGTGCTTTTGGTCTGTTGAACTATTTACTGGGCTGGAAGCCTACTAGAGTAAGCAACTAACCGAAGATAATACACAAAAGTGCAAGCCACCTTCGAAGATGTCCTACCTAGCCGATGCTGCCGAACGAAACATCGAGTCTGTCCTGTGAATATTCGGATCCACAACAAAGGACGCACAATATGGAAAAACTCTTACTTGAATCATTTGGCTAGGAAATGGAATATCCTTAGCTGCGGACTTTATACAAACAACAAAGTCACGAAAATGCAACAAACGCTTCTTGAAAGCCCATTCGGAGGTTATTACGAGGTGTGGCATCGTTTAAAGCTAATGACAACCAGGTGTTTGACAAACCTTCTTGGTGAGCACGAGCGGGAATTGACCGTAATATTTTGTACGGTCGTCGGGGATAAACGAGGGCAAATGGAGGGATCCAAACACGGACCGGCTGTAGAATTTCCCTCGGAGGTTTGTACACAGTCCAGGGCGACTCAGCTGAAAAAATCCATGAAACAGACCTACTTGAACCGCTATTTGAGGATCTGGCGAAGCAAGAAGTGCTCATCGACGCATCCCCGCCCCAGCCGAGTGGAGAGCCGTGGCACAAGCGGAATGCATTTAGGAAGACAATTGGGAAGACTTTGAAAATAATGTCAAGAAAATGTGTGTCACGGTCATCTGTCACCTTGGTGATTGGCGTGACAACAGCGTCGCTAGTCAGCTGGTACACTCTCTGTTTCATATATTCAGGTTAGAACGTCGAGTGACTGACCAACTATTGCGGCCAAGCAGCGCTTTGGATTCCTGACAGAAATCAGTCATCACAAGTGCTTTCTTGCGGTGCAGCTTAGATATCGCTTCAGGAACCCCCTCCGCGGATAGCAGGCCACAGTGGCCATCATATTCGGTTGCCGGTGTGTCTTGAAACCAGCCTTCAGGTGCGACGAGCAAATCTGTGGGGGTTATAGTGTGAGAAAGATGTCCATTCTACAAGATAATCTCACCCTCCAGCAACGCTATTATCCCGTCTTGTTTGTCTAGGGCTGGTGAGGCAGACAAAGTAAAGGGCTTGTGCCTCTTCAAAATCTTGCGCAGTTCCTTAGCTGCCGAATGTCGTTCGCTCCGCCGCTATCCGCCAGAACACAAGGTCGGATGACGCTAAGTTACCCGTATCTTCCTTTGCCTCTGAGGATAGGTTAGAGCAGGAATCCGAAACGTCAGGCGAGTAAAGCTCTCGTCCCAGCGATCGTGTCTCCTTCTTTGCCCTTGAACTCTCAGCCAGTTCGATCGTTGTTACGCTGAATTATTGCGCGCCACTTTCTGTTCTATTTCGCGTTTTAGCTCCGATGCGCTAATTGTCAGATGAATAAAGCCCAATTCCATGGTACTCCTTCATTCTGACTCTTTTATTGAATTCTGTCCGTCGTCTTTTAGTCGAGTGCATGTGACCGTTGGATTACGACAATTTATTCATCTTGCAATTCAACAATAGATCGATTTTTTCATACCTGAACGAATCGTTGTCGATTCAAATGTTTCAGACGCTTGCCAGACGGAGAACCATTGGTTTCACGCGTTTGAAAATTTCGTGTCAACGATCAAAGACATGGAACTATTCGAATGAAAGGTTCTGACTAATTACGTCTCCCCTACAGTCTAGAGATATATTCGTGAATGCTCCAGCTGTGAAGAAGCCGTTGGATTGCTATGAGACCTCTGCTCAAAACCCAAAGAAGCAGTCCCTGCTCGTTATCTTCTAGCGACATTCAGACAAGAAAGCCGATAAACAGTTGACTAGACAATTAAAAATTGGGGTCTTTAGCTTAAGGCTGAGATTTCCGAGTTGTTAAGCAGAACAAATCCGTTATGGTATCGTCAGAGACGCCTTCCTCAATGACCTTCCATCGAACCAGATCCAGCAGAGATTATTGGAGCAGAAGACTTTAAACATTACTACTTCTTCTGACCGGGCAATGTCACTGAAATTAACAGAAAGATAGTATTTTGCTTATCGGAAATCTCTGAGGGCCTCATTCTCTGTCTCTTCTGGGATAACATGTGAGGCTCCATCCAGTCCTGTTAAAGCATCTGACCTAGTATCCTCCTATTCCTCAAATTACACATTTTACTTCTCGTGAATTCTAAAAGCATCCGTGTTCGGATTCCCCTGCGCTCAACGTGTTATGCAAGGGGTTCGGCAAAAAGTGAGCACATCCAAGAAATTTTTCCATCATTAAACCGATAGATCTTTTCTTCCTCTACATACTCGTCCATTTCTACCATCGCGTTGCCTGCTATATCTGATTGCGTTTTGAGCGCAATGACCGAACTACTGATCAACGAGACTAATTTTCAGGCCTTGCTAGATGCGTGAAGTTCTGAGAGTTGCATTTTGTCTCCCACAGTGCAACGAAACTTCTGGAAAAGTTGCACATTACGTTCTGAGACATCCATGGTCAGCATCGCCCTCACAGGTGGCACGCAAGGGAAAATTCTCAATCCGATCAAATATTAAAGTGCCGTTTAAGAGAAGGCCAAACTGTCGGTTTTACCGGATTTGTGCGCCGAAGTGCTGCTCGATCATGACTTCCTTCGAATCTGCAAATGCCAGAATTTCATTTGGTGAATTTAAGCCTGCACTCGCAACTAGTTCTATAGCTGGCGCTTGCGTCCGGTCTTTTTGATTATTCCCTGACCTAACACCTGATTGCAAACCTATCGCGACAATATATTGGTGACGCATCAGCGGAAACGAGAGATTTCTAAGAAGAGGTCCGTCGCCTCCTTTCCCTGGAAGTCGTCGAGCCCCCCTCATCCTACGAGAGTTCAGGTTCTGGCTGTAGTTACTGATACCTACGAAAAGCGAACGGCTGTTGATTTTAGTCAGATGGTTAACAATTACACACTCGTGCACAGGCCTCGAAGCTTGTGGACGTTCGCACCAATTTCTCCGAGTTCCGTTTTGTGTGAGTGGCGAGGCTGTATCATTCCATCAGATTACTGGTGGTCTGATTACGGACGAGCACCTTAAGAACACTTTTATATGTGGATAATAACTTTATTTGTGGAAAAAATTTCGCGGAGCATGACTTTGACCTTCGAAAATACTTCAACCTTACCGAAAAATACGAACTGATCTTCAATAGAGCCAAAAGTGTAATAACTGAAACGCAGGTTTCCAAGGCCAACTTCAAACCAGATTTAGACCACCTAAGACCCCTGCGCAAAATGGCTCCCCCACGTGACCTAAAGTCACAAAATCGAGTCGCGGGATTTTTCGCCCACCGTTCTTAATGCATATCTAATTTTTCATATAAAATATTTCCACTAGAATCGGAGTTAATTGAGGCATTCGAAGCGATTAAGAGGAAAGTTTCGAAAGTTACAATCGCTGCTGTTCATTATGACACCTTAATATTTGTGCAAACAGGTGCTTCACACTACTTGATTGTCGCCATACTGAACGAGAATGATCGACCAGTAGCGTTAATTTCGTGAAACGTACGTCGCGGTAGAGTCCATGCTCAAGTGGAAGCGCCTTCTCCTCTGAGGTCATTCTAAATGCCTTACAGGTGAGGGTTTAGGTGCCTTTATCTACGGTAATAAACAAAAGGGGAAAATGAAGAACAATCTGACCGAACGTTGGACGTCACGTCTGTCACTACTGAAATTCGACATTTCAGCTTTATAAGTTCATACGCGACAAACGCTTTCATGTTATATCCGAAAGTTGACATGTACGCCTGAGCCTAAATCAACCAGTTTCAGCGGGATAACCGCGTAGTACTTACAACCTACCACCACCAGTCAGTCAGCAGCATATTAATGCAGCAAGATTCACCATACTTGACAACTCAGGCACGTGTTTCGACGATTTTCTGCCGTTGCTCGAAGCATCTTTCTGGATTTTTAGACAGTGCCCGTGCAGTCGGTATTGTGAGTCATGCAAAATACGACATTGTTTACCGACCACACATCCACACCGACCGGGGATCCTCGTCTATGTCAAACAAGTGTAGGCAATTCTCCCAAGATAGGGGATCGGCAACCAGTAGGGCAAGTCAGTACAATCCTCAATGAAAGGGGAGTTCGAGCGTATGGACTAAACACTTCCTGTAAAATCTCAAAACCAGCCTGCCACGCACAGAGAGTCCATTCCACTCGGCGCCCTGCACTCGTTCATATCAAACTTGTGTACCGCTATCAATGCGACATCACGTAAAAGTATACATACAATGGAAAGTCAGCTACCATAACCAATCCCCCTATCAGACTCACCCCTCCAGACTGAGTTATGTTAAACGATGCCTGACAGTCAAAAAATATCAGATTATTGAGGAAAATAAACTGCTAATGACAAAAAATAAATCCTATTAGTTTACTCCATCGCTGCGAGCTGCTGATGGTTGCCAGTGATTGGAATGGGCAGACTGGATCTGGCGACTACAGTCGTCTTCTTGGTCGCTTTGGGACTGGTTCCCGATGTGACAGTGGCAAGGGATTACTGGACTTCAATGGTCAGAACCGACTGCTTGCCACCAGCACGTGCTTCCAGCATCGCAACAAGCATCTCCTGACCTGGTATTCAAACGGCGGTCATACGGCCAGTCAGATGGACTACATACTAGTCAGCTCAAGGTTCCGCAGCTGGGGCCACGATAGCGGACTGATGCGTGGTGTCCAGACTGATAACGTCCATGGGTCGGACCATGTCCTCATTCGTACACGCTTGAAAGTTCACCTCTCATTCACACCAAAAACACCACGTCCTAGACGCCTCTATGTCGCAAAACTCCGACAAACCAACACTGCCGAGGACCTGAGCAGAGAAATCTAGTCCTATTTAACGGCCCGAGCCGACGGATAAGGCAGTAACCAGCGGTCGTCAGTGAAAATGTCAGTCTATAAAACAGCTGAGAAAGTCCTTTGATATACCCAGCGACGCCGCAGTGACTGGATCAAGGGAAGAACCCTGCAGTTGTCTGCTCAGACGGCTCGATCCAGGTCCCGTAATGAGGATTTCTTCCGCCAACTTCGAAAGACAACGGCAAAGTCGCCAAGAGTTGACCATAAGCAGTATTAGGCTGAAACAGAGGCCTCCATAGAACAGGCATCAAACGTTGGTGACACTTGCAAACTCTACCAACTTATCCGCCAAGTTAGTAGTAGGCCCTATGCATTGAGTGACTCTGTTCGTGACGTGAGTGGCGGCTTTATTGCTGACAACTCGGCCAAAGTCGAGCGCTGACGTGAGCACTTCGACCACCATCTCGATTTCGATACCTAACCCATTACGCCCCTGTTCTCCTCTGCAGCGGAGTTTCTCCCCTTTCCAAATTATGCAGTATCATGCGACCCCCCTCTGAGGGAGAAGTCCCCGATTCCATACGAAGGCTACGCAACAACAGGGCATCCGGAGACGACCGTGTGCCAGCTAAAATCTACAAGTCTTGCGTCGACATTCTGGCGCCCTGGCTCCATGAGGTGATTTAACAAGCGTGGGGAGACGAGGTTGTTCCTGATGACTTGAGCTTAGGCGTCTTTGTACCTATCCTTAAGAAGGGAGATAAGACAAGATGCCAGAACTTCTGCAGCATATGCCTTACTGACGTTGCTGCGAGGATCGTCGCCACTGTCCTTCTCTGGCGGTTCCAGGCTGTGCGTGACTCTAGAACGAGGCCAAACCACGCCGGATTTTGTGCTTGCCGTGGATGTGCAGACCAAGCATTCACACTGAGGCGCATGCTCGAATTCCGCCATAGCTACCAGCAACCAACGGCCGCCTGATTTGTTTACTTTGTCGCCGCATTCGATTCCGTTCATCGTGAGTTCCTGCAGCGGACAATGGCACTAGATGGGGTACCACCAAAAATCATCGCCATGATCAAGGCCTATTATCGCTCCACCACTGCGAGAGTCCTGGTCCGCAACAATCTTTCCCAACCGTTTGGTATTCGGTCTAGCGTTCGACATGGTTGTATCCTGTCGTCCATCCTGTTTAACTACGCTATTGACTGGATTCTCCGAAGGACCCTACACGAAGCTGACAGTGCTGAGTTAGCACTCGGACACCGACTGACTGATCTTAACTGTGCCAATGATGTGCCTTACTTGATTCAAGTTTTGGTGATCTGCAATCTATCGTGTCATGGGTGAACGAGGTCGTTCAATCAGTCAGTTTGTCCATAAACGCTGGGAGGACTAAAGTGTTTTCAAGCTGCATCCCCGACCAGAAGAAAGCACCTCTCGGGATTCGTGGCTGTCAACTTGCAGAAGTAAACAGTTTTAAATACCTAGGGGCGAGGGTACTACCGAAGAGACAAAGTAAGAACAACATTTTCTCCCGAATCGATGCTGTTCGGTGGGTTTCCTCAAGCCTTAGGAAGTGCCTATGGATCCGACGCGGCATCTCCATCGCCACCAACATCCGCAGATATCGTGCATCTGTCTGGTCTGTCCTTCCCTATGGTTGTGAATGCTAGACTGTGCGCGTGTAGGACGAGCGAAAACTGGATGTATTTGGCCACCACTACTTAAGGGTCATCCTCCAAGTGAAGTAGACCGACTTCGTCTCGAATGAGACAACCCGCACCCGCTGCGACAACATCGCAAAAATAACCCAGACCATCCAAGAAAGACGACAGAGATGGTTTGGGCATGTTCTTCGTCGTCCACCTCAGGAGTTCAGCGTTACTGCCCTCGTTTCGGCACCGTTACCCCATTGGAGGCGTCGGGGAGATTCAACTCAAAACCTGACTTGACACAGTTCGTCAAGACATGAAGGTGGTCCTTGGACCTTCGGTATTTGATCTCCGTCGTTGGCAAAGAAAATAGGTTGAACCGTGCAGATCTGCTGCCGCGGATCGTCACGCGTGGAGAGGTACAGCTCGGGCCATCATCGAGGCTGACCAGATCAGGAATGATCGCAGCCGTACCAAGTACGAGCACAAGAAATTACAAGCAAAGTAGCACTCAGTAAACTTTATCACATTAACCGATATACTATTTCGTGTTTTAGCTCGGATGTGCCAATGGTAAGGTTAATATGGTCCCCCTCTACGGTACGCCTTCATTATGAATCTTCTATCCAACTTTGTTCATGGTACCTCAGTTGCGTGCCTATAGCTGGTTAATTGCTGTAGACGTGTAGACAGGGATTCAGACATGTCGCCTACCCCGGCTGCGGTCTGGAACCCTCCCTGAAGTACTTTGGAGAATCCGCCTTAGTCCACGTGATGGTTTAAATGGACGACCCCTCGGAGGCGGCTATTGTCACTGTCAGCACAAAAGAACGATCGGAGGCAGAGACGACGGCCTGTGGCAGTTGCAGGCGTCTCAAGATGGATAGGATTGTTCCTCTTCGCAGGTCTTGACTTTCCTATGGCATGTGGCCTAAGTTGTATTGGAAGATAACCTAAACTATTCTCGCTGCCGATGTCGGCAGCATGCATCACATAGATGTCTAACGCTTGGGGGCAGAGAATGTCGAGAACGGTATACGGGTGACTTACTTTTAAGCGTGTTTGTCACTGAAGGGTAAGTTGATTAAATGCTTACTCTGGTGCCGGAAACCGACGGTTAAAATGTCTACGCAGTTCAGCGCGAAGAAACTGAGAAGCTACTTATTCTTCACATGACAATTTCACACAGCGTACGAGACAGAGCCTCGCCTCGCAGAAGAACCAAGCTTCCCAGTTCGGGCATTCCAACCGCCGGTAACGCTAAGCGCCTTATTCACTGAAACAAGCCGGAATATTGGTTGGAATTCGTGAAATACTGATGCACTGCAAGAACTGGGAGTCTAACGACAGCACCGCGAAGGCTTACAAATGTAGTTATCGGTGTCACCGGTTCCTAGCGTCTAAGCCTTGGGCCTGATCCGTCAGGACTATTGCGGCACTGTGTATACCGACTTTTAACGGAATCGCTGTCGTAGTAGTAAAGAAATTTCTGCGTGTTTGGTACTTTAGTACTGGGTAGGCCATCGTCTGGCAAGCGCTCTCAGAGAGGCATGAAACATCTATGTTATGCTGCGCCAACGGATGTATGGTAAAACTCTGTGCTGCTGGTATTGAAAGGGTTTTCTGTTTCAGCACACAGTGAACACCCTTCTTCCGAAAGCGGACAGCACGCAAACTTACCCTCGCTTCGCCGACAAGCAGCCGATAGAGTCGGTTCGCGCGGACGCTGCCGGATGAGACAAGATTAAGGAAGTAACATAAGATGTATATTTATGGATACAAAGTAAACAAGGTTCTCAGTCCTGAATTTGTCCTCTGGATGGAGGTTCAATCCATACGAAAGTACAGGCAGGAGTAACTTATTTAACCACAAATCACGCCTATTTCGTCTTTGTAGTCATCTGTCTCTGCGGCCCTTCATACGGTAGTCAGATGCTAGCCTTAGCAATCTGCACCCTGTTAGCACGGACACTGCTGACTCGCGACACGGAAGCATGTTTAGTTCACAACCAACCTTATACACTATAAATCACACGTAGACACACCGGATTTCCAGCAGCCAGGCAGACCCCGCCCTCCAGAGGTCCTCGTCCTGGCGAGTGGATAAGTGGACAAACAAAAGGCCGCTAGTCTAGTGAGTATGCTAATAATAACTTTTCTAGAAAGACAAGGGAAATCGTGACATCCTGCTAGTCGGTATGCTTAGTTTACCGCCTGGCTATCGGCTCTGATGTGGGAATTAAAAGCGGAGAGGAGCGCAGACGGGACGACCTATTCGTACAAACCAGTGGGCGACTGTACAGCATTTTCGACTAATATGCAAGGAAGCCGCTAGAAAACGGAGTATTCATGATGAATTTAATGGAAACGAAATAGGACCCCCCTCTACTCAGATCTTCGTGAACATTCAAAACTCACAAACCCGAACCATGCCATTTCATCGGCGAGGAAAGAGCAACCGGACATTCCCTCGTGATTCGACCACCAGGTAGGTGGGCCTACATTCTGCGGCAGAGGCAGAATTCGTATGACATGCTGGAGAGTACGCATTATTAAAGACGCCGGAATATGATAGTCAATTCCATCAGTCCTTCATAACTGCAATAATGACGTTCTGTGTTCTTGGAACGGCAAGAGTTCACCGTCTTAGATTGTTCGGTTAAGCACTCAGTTCATCAGAAAATAAACTGGTATGCAACATCTCCCGAAAATACGTTCAAACTGGCACGACTATCGTAGTTAATCCTGGCCTAGTGAGAATGCTGGACTTGACGACAGCTTGCATTCAGGGCAGAGCGTCAGATGAATAACGTTTGATAAGGGCCTAATTGTTGATTACAGAGCATGGCTCGCAGGGGTTTGCTATGCTGTAGAATGTAGAACCAGAAAAGCCGGGACAGATGACAGCCAACGCAGGCAAGTTCAATGCACAGTCAGGGGTTAATCATTCTACGTTATGCAGGTTTTAAAAAATATAGCTGCACAGCGTTTTCCTAAGGTCATGAGCGCAGTATTTAAATTTACAAAGGGCCCTCGAAGTGGTTTCCCTATAGAAACAGCATCAAAATGGTGCTAAACAAAATTCCCATTGGCGGATGTCTATTTTTGATCATACGAAATTGCTATAAAATTTTGAGGGTAAAGTATTAGCGAGGAAGATAGACACAGGATTAGAAAATATACTAGCTAAACTCCCCTCACACCGGGAGGTAACTGTCAAGGGAACCAAATATGCTTTACAAGACAAAACAGTTGTGATGAAGAAAGTACAAGACAGGAAAGCGGGTACTATGGAACGATATGTAGATAACTAGGTACAAATGCGAGTCTATTTACATTCTGGGAAAACAATGATATTTTTCTTGGTCTGTGTGGC